TCCTTTAATCTAGGGAGAGGGTGGCTTTTAAACAACACAGCCTACAGTGAAAAATGAGGGGAGCTCTGCGGCGCTGCATTTGTAGCTTTTGTCCCTCCTAGGGCAGGAAGCTGCAGGAGTCGTCGTGTCGTGAGTCTTAGTTTTCCTACAAAAACACTGAGTGGTCACGAACTTTCCCCAGTTCCTTGTACGGGGGGCTCCCTTACAGAGGGGGAAGAAAAAAAAAAAAAGGTAAAACAAAACAAAAAAAGCAACTCCTGACTTCCCCCATCTAACAAAATCATCGGCAACTACAGGGCAAAAATTAAAAAGCTACTCGAGGTCCCTTTATCTTCAGAGACCTGGATTTTGAATGTTTCCAAACTCGGGAGGCTCAGGCCGGTAATTGCCTTTAGTTACTGCTCTTTGAACTACTAAAAAACATATACATAGTAGCAACTGCTTTTAAATAGTGGCGGAGGGACGCGTGTTTCTCCTCAGAGGAGCCATTTGAAACAGACCTGATGAGCTTGTAACAGAGCTGATATTTCTGTTGCAAAACTCCGAGGAGATCACATTTCTAAATGATCGTCTACTTCCAAAATAAATGCATGCGGTGTATTCGCAAGCGGTATACAAGAACACACACACGCGCAAGCATATATAACCATTTCTTTTTAAAGGGCTAACTCAATTCAGTCCCGATATACCGCATTTCATTTCCTTCCGTGGCTGAGGATGTTAAAAGCAGGAAGGTTAGCAGAATCACACACATTGCCTTAATTCGCCTGTCTAGTTGTACAACTACCGTGATTTCAGAGTGGGATCAAAACTGCATCCATCACCCGATTTCGGGCTGCACTTTTAGAAAGAAGAGCAAGGAAGGGCTGTGGACACAGGAAAGGTCATTTGGAAGCAGAGAGATGCCTGGTTCGGGGGAAGGGAAAAGGGCTAAAAAAAGCGTATTTTCTCGTTAAAGTTAGGCTGGGGTAAGTTAGCGATGACTGGACACCTTACTCGTCCGCACTGGTATGTAAACTGTATCTGAACTCGTGCTCCCGTAGGACGTGAGGAGCGAAGGCCCTCGGCCACGGGCGGCAGACCGGCCCGGGAGGTTTCGCTTTCGTCCCGCGCTGCGGCCTCGGTTCGCAGCAACGGAGAGACGTGAAAATTATCGTGGGAGAAACACCTATCGCTACGAAGTCCCCACGTGTAATCCGGGGAGGGGGGGGTCTTGCCGATCCGGGGTGGGTCGGCAGAGCCCTTCGGGTGGCTGAGGCCAGCTGGTCTCCGAGGGAAACATTTTTTTCCCATATAAATCCCTCTTGGTACGAGTCGATGTGCCAGCTCACGCTGCACCCGTCCCCGAGTCCCTCGGCTCGTCTACGAGCCCCGGGTCCCGTGCCCGGTGGGGCTCGGGGAGCGCTCTGGATGTGCTGGCACCCACAGAAGCCTGGTGCAAGCTCCATCTCCTGGTTTAAAACCCCAGAAAAGCAGGACCGAGCAGCCACCTGCCCCTCTGCC